CCAAAACTTCACCTCCCAGAACTTATTAAAATCATCAATTTTCAGCCCCAAACTCAAAGTATGCTATTTCATAAAATTTGAGCAAGTTTATGACAAAAACAAGCATAAATTAACAACCAGAACAAATGAATGATTCAAACTCTGAAAATTTTATCCAAGGAACCTCAGCACGTGGTTAATAGTTTGTGAAAATCTCAGCTTTAAACACCTAACATGCGATTTAATAAATTTGTTACAACATTCAGCAGATTTCAAATTTTCAACCTGAACGGAACCTAAATGAACTCTAAAAATTCCAATATTTTAACAGCATGAAATACTCTTTGAAACAGGTATTTCAACCAAATATCAGAATTTTTCAGCATCAGATCAATTTATTATAATTAAAATAATGTTTGGCAGAAACACAAAATAATTTATTTACCTAAGCTAACAGAGTCCAAAAATTATGAAAATTGTACACAGAAAGCCAACGTTCCAGAGACATAACATACTAAAATTTCAGCAAATTTGCAGCACTACACAATGTATTATGCATTTAACATGAATCTGACCAGAAATCATCTTAATTTATTAAAATAGCTACAGACCAAATAAAATTATGAAATTTTTACACAAGCTTCATAATCAACAGAGGCAATTACACTCAAAGTTTCAAGGTAATCGGATCAGCGAGCAATTTATCATGATTTTATTGCAAAAACAGCCACTAAACAAGTTCGACAATTTATCTAAGACTCGATCTACGACAAAATCGCCCGAGGTCTTCGCCATAAGAACAAGGATTCAAAATGGTTCAATTATCCACAGCACATCACATGATTTAACGAAGTCTCGTTCGATTCCTTAAAATCGAAGAGATGGGGTTCAACTAGACGGGGTTTCGAGCCTTGTACCGTTCTCAGGGATCGTTTGAAAAATGGAATGAAGGAGGTAACAGGGGTCGACGGCAAACACACGGTGGCGCTCGACGGCTAAGCTTCATCTCGCGAAGGAGAGGAGAAGCAGTCGCGCTTGTGGAGGGCTTGCAGCTGTGGCGTCGCGGTCGCGTGAGGGAACAACAGGTCGTCGGTGGCGAAGGTTGCGGCGGCGGACAGCAGTTCGCCGGAAATTCGCGAACAGGGGTCGCCGGAGTTGGTTGCTGCAATGGTGTCGCGGCGCGACTAGGATCGTTGGTTTACGACGAGGGAGGCGGAGGAACAGGGACTCGCGATGGGCTCACGCCGGAGAGGGGTTGCAGCGGCGACAAGAGGATGGTGATGGCGCGATCAGATTTTCACGCAGGGAAGGGTTCAGCGGCGAGGAGATGGCGCGATGTTGATGGTGGTGATGATGATGATCAATTATGAGGAAGATGGTGAGGTTACGATGAAGTCGAGATTTCCCTCTTCTGGTCGGGTGAGGATAAAAGGCGAGAGAGAGAGATCTTGACGAGAGTTCGATCAGATTATAAAGCTGCGGGTTTGATCTCTGCTTATGCTTTGAGCGAGATATATACATAACTTAGGGTTTTTGTCATGTAAAACAAGACACACCAGCGCACATGGGCAGAAAACCGGGTTTGGGCCGGTTCGGTTTCGCGGGTCGACCGGTTCATGCAAAGGCTCGAGGAAAGAATCAGCTCTCGGGCCCGACTAGACGAAATGTTAATTTGGTTCGGCTCGACAATTAAATTATAAACCGGATTTTTATTTACATATATAATATACACAAAATAATAATAATATTAATAATAATACAAATACACATTTATGGGATCAATTACAATTAATCAAATAATAATATTTAAACATTTAGGCATTTAAATACAATTTGGCAAATAAATAATATTTAGACAATTAGACATTTAATCGCAATTTAACAAATAAATAATATTAGACATTCAATAATAATAATCTATATCTATATATATATAAAGAGGTTGTTGGAAAAATACATTAATAGAAAGTTTGACCAAATAAATATAATGTTTGACTTAATATTAATGGAAAGTTCAAAAAAACACATGTGAATCTTTAGTAACAAAATCTAAATCCTATTTTTTTGGTAACAAATTTGGAGATTCTTATGGCAAAATTTGAATCCCATATTTTTCGTATCATATTTTGTTTTTTTACTAAAATTTAAATCATATCTTTTTTGGTAACAAATTTGGAGATTCTTATGCAAAAAATGTGTCAATTATTTATGAAAACAATTCTAAATACAAATTAATTTAAAAACCGTGCAAATTAGATACAAATTTAGGAAGCAAATAGTATAATTCTTAACCAAGTCTAACAATCTTATTGAATAATTTTTTCTTTAAAAAAATTGTGTAAATTGGATAAAGTCACGTGCAATTTTTATTTTAAAATAAAACTGATATTTGGACGGGATGTACATTCAAAATTGTGTCCACATTTTTTGGTAACAAAAGCGGTTCATCATTGATATTTAAAGTCACTTTATCCAATTATTTAAGAAAAAATATGTGCAACTTTACAAAATTTAAATGCATCGATTTTTTTGGATTCTTATGTTTTTTCTTAACCATGTTTTATTGAGATTTTGGTAAGTTCATATCATTTTTTTTTGGTTAAGTTCATATCATTTTCTTTAGGAAAGAGACAGTTGCATAAACATTAACAATTTATTTCAATTTTTTATTAGAATTATTTTTAATTCAATTTGTTTGGTACAAAAATTGGTGCAATGTTAGGAAAATTTGGTTGCATTTTAGGAAAAATTGATGATTTTTTTTATTTGGTTTAAAAAAAATCGGATCAATTTGTTTGATAAGAAAATCGGTTTATTGATAGAAAAATCCGTCATTTCCGGGACTAACTAATGATTCTTTTCAATTTTTGTTAATTGAAATTTAGAATTAAATTTAAAATAAATAAAGGGTGAAAATCCGTAAAAAAATTTACTTCTTTTTCTACTTTAATTTATTCAATAAATAAGATCCTTTAATTTTTTTTAAAATTTGTTAAGTAATAACTAATAATATGCAATTTTGGATAACTTCGAACACCTATGTAGTACTTTACGTGCCAAAGAATCAAATCAATAATGTTGTACATACGAAAGTGTTTAATATCTTTTCAAACATATAAATTTCATTTTCATGAAATTTTTAATCGCATGAGACAATTTAAATATAAAAATATCTTTTAATAAATATATATAATAGTAAATGCTCCCGTGCATCGCACGGGCACCGTACTAGTAATAATAATAATAATAATAATAATAATAATAATAATAATAATGATAAATAATTCCAAAATATTTCATAATCAAACGGGGCATTACAGTTCTTCTTGGTTCAGTGGCAAGGTACTCTTATGATGGTTGTGCTGATTCAGTTTCCTTACAAGTCTGTGATGGTTGATTGGCTGGTTTGAGTTATACTGAAGGGATCTGCCGTTGATGGCTGCTTTTAGTTGCTGTTGTTGGTTTTAAATTCTTGTTTGGTGTATTTTTGCTGGCTTTCTTTTTAGATTGCTAGTGATTGTTTGTATTAGTTATTATATTCTCTGGTTATGTGGTTTCATTGTTTTGGTCTAGGGCATCTTGATGTGACCCTCGTGTGGCTATTTGTAATATTGGGATCAGTCGATTCCCCAAGTTGAAAAATTATTATTGTTGGTTATGAGATTCAATATACCATTATTGGGAAAAAAAAAAGAAAAAAATGAGCATCTCTATCGTTCTTAAAAAGAAAAAAAAATAAAATAGAATTTATCTCAATTGATTTGCTCTCATCATCCTTCCTCGAATTAGGGGTGAGCAAAACCGAGCAGAAACCGAAAAAACGAACCGAACTAATGTATTCGGTGCGGTTCGATTCGGCTTTAAAGGGTTCGGTTTTCAGCGCGGTTAAAATTTTAAAAAACCGCACAAATTTCGGTACGGTTCGGTTTTTTGTCCGAATGATGCAGTTTTAGCCGAACCGTACCGAATATGTTTTTTTTTTTTTAATATATATGTTAACATATTTGTATTCTATATATACATGCTCATTTTGGGCCTTTGATTTGGGATGACTAACATTAACAATAAATAAGTAAAGTAATAATAACAATAACAATTAAAAATTGATAACACTACATTAAAATCTAATTTCTTGCCTTAGTTTTTTGTTGGAATGGTGTGTGCATGAAGTGTTGCACATTGAATGCTCGCATTCAGCTTTCATTTTTCCTTTTATTGTCTTAGTTAAAATCGTGTTAGCACGTTTATTAGTGTTGTGCGTTTTATTTCTTAAAACGATGTCGTCTTGTACTTGCATGTGGACCATATGCATGCTTCCTTTATTAGGTCATTACTGTACGTTTTTTTCCATTTGGATTGAACATATGAAATAAAGAGCAATATTCTAAATATCTGGTTCTGAAAATTTGATTTCAACATGGTATCTAGAGCAATCGATTTTGGGATCTGAGAGCTAAGATATCTTACCTTGAGCTGCGATTTAGTGATTCTCGTCGCAAATCACTCTGAGAATTGTTGTTTTCTGATTTTGCGATTTCGAGCTGCGAGCTAGCGCAACAATAGCGCGCCGAAGAAATGAGGCTTGGCCACTGCTCAACACCAACACTGCTTCAGGATCGAGGCTTCAGGTGCAGGATCCTCTATTCCTTCATTCCTCTGATAATCCTGGTATGACTTTGGTCACAATCCCTTTAACTGGTAGCAATTTTTTGCCCTAAAAGAGATCGACGATAATTGCCCTCAGNTTTTTTTTTTTTTAATTTGTTCTTCGAGTTCCTTTGGGCACATGATTTGGTCCGAGGCTATTTTAATTTTGTCTTTCGATACAAAAATTTGAAGTCATGCTGATGTATTAGTACTTCAAATGTACAGAATGTGAAAAAATTTATGCTATGTAGTTTGATCTATGATCCCAAATATGTAGAGATCATCTTATATTTGTATTTAATGTACTCTTGCAGTGTATTTCAGCAATTAATGACAAGCTCTTCAAGAAAGTCTTTAACTTCTTCCACCGGAAAAAAATCCGAAACTCGCTAAAAATTGGAAGTTCTTACGAATAATCTTATTTAGGTGAGAAACGTTAGAGAAATTAGCACTTTATTTAGTCTTTAATATAATCAATTGTGTGTTGTAGAACTTGCCTACTATTTTCTGTCATTTTCTATCTGTTAATTATGATTCATTCTTGGTTGATAGCAGTGACATCAACATCGTGCAAGTTTGTAACTTGAAGAAAGTTATTTATAATATGAGCACCGATATGAAGAAAGCCACTCTAGAGGGTTGCGAAAATGCTTCGACCCCAGAATTACAACAAGCAAAGGTATCTTACTTACACCTTCCAAAAATCTTTTACTAGATTTATTTCTCATAATGTCGTGTGGATATTGTAGATTGATGAGGTGAGACGGTTGATTGGGCCACTATCCGGAAAATTGGCCCTTTATTGTTCAGATGCTTCAATTGCAAGATATTTACGCGCACGAAACTGGAATGTGAAGAAGGCTGTTAAAATGCTGAAGGCGACCCTGAAGTGGAGACTCGAGTTCAAGCCAGAAGATATCTGCTGGGTAACTTTATTTTATTTTGGATTTTGGGAGTATAATGATGTGCTATTCAGGCAAGATTATTATTATTCATTTATTTTTTCATTTTCACTTTCTGATGTATGTTTAATGTAGGATGATGTTGCAGCGGAAGCCGAAACAGGAAAGATTTATAGATCGAATTACAAAGATAAGTACGGGAGACCTGTTCTCGTTATGAGGCCTAGGTGCCAGGTTAAATCTGATGCTCATGCTTTTCTCGTATTTCTCAGCCAAGTTCATGTTGTTAGATTTTTTCGTGTCAATCAGTTTCAGTTTCAGCTCATGATTAACAGAACTGGAAATTTATAATGATAGCTAACTGTTAAGTATGGCAGGATTATGTGCATGGGAGTAACAGATTTCATGTAATGCATTACAGTTCAAGGATTATGTCGTGTGCACGTTTCTTTTCGTGTTTTTCTTTTACTTATGTTTGCCTTTTACTAAAGACGTAACTCTCACTTGTAGAGTTGTTAGTGCATCTTTTATATTTCCGGTTTATTTCTCTTTTGTTAATGGATGCTACGTGTAGGCTTGGGATTGGCCCTTAGTTCACGAGTATTACATGCTCGTCTTCTTCATTGTATTTGTACTGAGCTCTTAGCTCATTTTTTAGAATGAAAATATCTGGAAAATTCCCAAAATAATTTTCTTACGATCTTATTGAAAATGATCCTAAAATCGTAAAATCTACACTAACAAAAAACTAATCAGATAATCTCCAGGTTGTTTTTGTACCTCATCCTCTTGAATTTTTTCTTGCTTGGGCAGAACTCAAAGTCGATAAAAGGACAAATTAAGTATTTGGTTTACTGCATGGAGAATGCAATTTTAGATCTTCCTCAAGGCCAAGAGCAGATGGTGTGGCTCATTGATTTTCACGGTTTCAGTTTATCCAATATATCAATCAAGGTAACAAAGGAGACTGCCCACGTTTTGCAAGACCATTATCCCGAGAGGCTCGGTGTTGCTATCCTTTACGACGCACCAAGGATATTTGAACCATTTTGGATGGTAATTTTCCTCAGATCATATGTTGTTCTAAAATATTAATAAATGCACAAGTTGAATAGAGATATACTTATAGGCTATAGCTCATGTCAATTTCTTCTT